TGTGGAAGTTGTACAATATTACTGATGAAATGATCGAGCCACTCATTGTAAATATTGGTTGCGACAGTTCATCTTCTGATTTCGATTCTGATTTGGATTTGTAGGTAAGAAGTAGTTTTTATATTAAAATTATTATTTATGAACGTAACGTTGTTTAAAAGTCAAAGTTTAAACCCTTATACTTACATAACGCGTTTGACACAATGTTCTTGTGAACATTGACCTTGTGGAAAAATAAAACATTTTAGAAAAAATTGCACTTTTTTACCTTTAGCTGTTTAGAAGTTATAAGCAGGTTAATTAGGTGAAAATATAAGTGTATACTCGAGGAATAACTTCAAAAAATATTTTAATTGTCTACTAAAAGAAGTGGTACGCCTATGGATTACGAACGCTTTATTATTTTAATACTCTCTCATACATAAAAATGGACTATAGTTATGGGAAACACTATTATTATTATTATTATTATTTAAATAAAAATTCAGTAAATTAACGAACACTTTTATTTCTTACTTTTACTAATATTATAAGTATTGATATAAAGGTATATAATTTTGAATTACAATTTCAACAAATTGGAACTACCAAAACAATAATATATTTTTTTTTTAAATAGTGTTGGTAGATAACAGAAAACAATATAAATTAATTTCTCCTTGTACTAGGGGCTTTAACCCTACAGCCCTTACCTGTCTGGCTACATTTAAACAGTTGAATACCCTTCACGATTTGATTACATTTGTCTTTTCATAGTGTTTTTATAAAAGACAATAAAAAACTGATTCAACTCATTTTAGAATGAAACAAAAAATAAATATCTATCTTTTCATAAAACATAAAATGTCTGTAAACATTCATTGAGCAAGCGACAAAATATACCAGTCTGAGAGGAGCTTAGTCAGAAAGGAGCGGAGATTTAATAAAAAAATTGGCCCGACGAAACCATAAATCATAAAACAACTTTATTGGTGCCACTGTTTTCTTGTCGTTTATTTTCTCTTCGTTTTATAAAATGACGCATTTCTTCCGGGTTGGCGATTTTTATTTTCCTTTTTAGCCGAGTTTTACTCTCTATAAACACCCCTCCGAATTAAGCAGTTAAAAAATACAACTGCCGCGCTAGTTTATAAGTCCACGAGCTCAAGGGTTTTATTTCAAAAATAAATTCCGAACGAAAAGTTTATGGATGGAGCAAGTTTAAAAAAAGTAAACTTGAAAACATAGCAAACGAGTTCGGGTAAAAACTTTTAAACAAAACATCCCTAATTTGGAATTTAACAAAATATGTATGTATGCAAGGCGTTCTGTAATTGTATGCCAATATTTTAACAGGGCGTTTTACCAACCATTTAATAGGAGTTTATTTATTATTATGTTTAAATTTAAAGAAAATGGAATATAAGCGGGACAAACCCAAAATATATTGTTACGGTTTTACGTTGCCATATTATGAAAATATTAGGGATGAGATTTTATCAGTCATATTTATTTATATTATAATCATAAAAATCAAATAACAAACCTTATATTTTACATTTACATTTCACAAACACATTGATATTTATTTATTTATTTATTTGGGTTACACCATCCAACAGTATAAAACCAATTACAGGATGGGCACAAAAATAATTAGAATTACAGTATAATTTATATTATAAAAATAATAACAAAATATTAAATACTAATAATAGCATAAATATATAAATACAGGGTGTCATTGAAATAGTGTAAAAAAATTCGGGAGGTCGTTAAATACATATTATGGGATTTAGGGGCGTCAAAAGGGCAAACTTGGAAAGTGGTTTTTTTGAAATTGTAAGCTTAAAAAACACGATAAAATATGAATTTAACGACCCATAATTATAGGAACTTTTTTTACTAGTTTTAGGAGTACTATCTCTATTTCAATGACACCCTGTATATATATAGTTTAATAAACGTTTTTAACCATCATAAGAAAACGCAAAATAAACTCCGTTAGGAGAAAAAATTACGTTGTCTTATGATAATTAACTCAGTCCACAATTAAGTGTTTTATTTCTTTAATTGAAATAGAAAATAAATCAACATCATTTTGAAGTTCACAAAAATTTTGATACATAAAATACATTGGAGAAAATTTTAAAATATTTGTCCTGGGTGTCTGAAAATAGAAATACACAGGGAAGCGAGTTCTAATACTAGGAACATTAAACATTAGTTGACGAAGTAGTTCGGGACAGTCAATTTTAAAATGTAATAATTTGTAAAGAATGCAGATGAAATAACATTTCCTGCGAGTACGTAATTCAAGGATATCAAATCTATTCAGCAAGATGGTTTGCGGAATATTGCGAGTAGGGTAGACGCCATCTAGCTTGCACCACAAATATTTGACAAATTTTCGCTGAATTTTTTCTAATGCCTGGCTATGTACTTCATATCCAGGACTCCAAACAATGGACGCATATTCTAGCTTACTACGTACAAAAGCGTTAAAAATAGTTTTTAAAGTGTTAGGCTCAGAGAAGTGGCGTCCATTTCGAATGACAAAACCCAAATTTTTGTATGCTTCTTTTTGAATAGTATTGACATGTTCAATAAAGTTTAACTTAGCGTCGAAAAGAACACCAAGATCTCTAAAAGAAAGACATTTATTGATAGTAATATTGTTGACAGTGAAATTATACTCAATCTCATTTAGTTTGCGAGTGAAGCTGATAGAATTGCACTTATATATGTTTAGTGGTAAGTTGTTAGAATTACACCAAAGGTTCAATTTATTTAGGTTCTCCTGCATAATCAAACAGTCATCAATACTAGAGATTGATTTAAACAATTTTAAATCATCGGCATAGAGTAGAGTATTACATGATAGGTTTTCAGTAATGTCATTTACAAAAATGGAAAATAAAAGTGGTCCTAGAACTGAACCTTGAGGGACACCGGAAGAAGCTTTTATACAAATTGACTGAAAACCATGGTATTCAACTTTTAATTTACGATTACTCAAATATGATTCAAAAAAACGCAGAAAAGACGTAGTTAATCTAACAATGGAAAAGTCAGTATAAATAGCTTCAACCTGGCCACCCCTATCAAGGTTTTCCGCAACATATTGTGTAAAGCATATCAGATTGGTCTCTGTGGATCTGCCTGGAAAAAAGCCGTGCTGTGCCGTAGATATAATCGATTTTACATGAGCGAAAAGTATTTCATAAATGACATTTTCGAAAACTTTTCCAAAATTGCTAAGGATGGATATAGGTCTGTAGTTTTCTATGATAGATTTGGATCCTTTCTTAAAGATTGGACAGATTTTAGATATCTTTCAATAACTTGGAAAATTCCTTTCTCGTAAGGACATATTAAAGACCATGGTTAAAGGTTTGGCTAAAATATTTGCACAATCTCTTATTAAAAATGCCGGAGTATCATCTGATCCTCTAGTATTTCTAGGTTTCAATCTTTTAAAACCTTTCATGACATCTTCTTCTGTAAGTAGCGGAATGTTACAACTGTTAGTATTAATAACATTATCTAGTTTAGACATATCAATTTTAGATGAATTAGTGTACGATGACTGAAAATATGTAGCAAATGCATTGACAATGTCTTGTGAATTATTTAGAGGATAATTATCAAAAGTCATAACATTTAGTATACTACTGCAGTTTTTCCTTGAATTTATATACTGCTAAAAATCATTGGGGTTAAAAGATATTCTATTCTCAATATTTGTCAAATAATTCCTGTAATTTATTGAAATGTCGCGTTTATTAATTTTTGACCTAAGAATACTAAATTCAGTATAAATTTCAGCCTCTAGTGTCCTTCTATACAAACGATAAAGATTTTTTCCTTAAGTCCGAAATTATACTTCTATTAAACCAAGGAGGGTATTTTGAATTGCACCTTGGTACAGTTTTTGGAACATTAGCGGCAATTGCAGGATTTAATATAGAATAAAATAAATCACAAGTCTCCTCAGAAGTTGCGCATGCCTTCAAACTACTCCAATTAATTCTACAGATAGTCTGGTATAGTTGAGGAAGATTTGCCTTTTTGATATTATAAGATAATTTACTAGACATAGTAAAATTGGTATTTATTTGAGAAAGAGACAGCCGAAATTCTAATGAAGGATGTAAAGTATCTTCGTCAATTAATGGATCAAGTGAACGATTTACAGCGATGTCAGATCTACTAAAGATTAAATCGAGTGAACGGTTATTAAAATTAAGAGTATTAATATTGTCTTAAAGCTAATAATTCGGTAAAATTATCAAGTGCAACTATACTAGCATTTTTCAAAGTAATGTCATTACTACTAGAATGATAATGTGGTATATTAAAATCTCCTAATATTAACAGTTCTTCATCATTGTTGCACCATTCGTAATTACACAAAACATCATAAAAGACATCGTATATATCATTATGATATGTGGACATGTCAAAGAATATCAATTAATATTAAAATTATATTATTATTATTATTATAGACATTAAAATGCGTCAAATTTACATAGCCACACTGAATTTAAAAAGTACAAAAAATTAGTTATTCATTAGATTAGTATTAAATTATTTACGTTATTTATTAACCGACTTCAAAAAAGGAGGAGGTTATTAATTCGTCGCGATATTTTTTTTTTATGTATATGTTCAGCGATAATTCTTTAACACGGTGTCCGATTTCAATAATTCTTTTTTTGTTAGAAAGGGGCTACTTCAGGGGTGGTCCCATATAAATTTGATCAAAATCTAATAATTGGGTCCATGAGAAAATCCTCAAACTCTTCATTTTTTATGTATGTTTAGCGATAATGCTCTACCACCTTGTCCGATTTATATGATTCTTTTTTGTTAGTAAGGGGGTACCTCAGGGCTGGTCCCTTATAAAATTGATTAAGATGTGGTGATGGCATCTGCACGTTTTTGAAGTCGGTTTTTTTAAATTTTTAATACTTGTTCATTGCCAACTTTACAATTTTCTTTTCTATTTTTTTCAGGTTTGGCCAAAAACACGTTTTTATTTCAAAAAATTGATTGAGCAGTGATGTCTTAAAGCGGAAGTAAATATCGGATGCGCGCGCAATAAAAAACTTATTGTAGTTTTTTATTTTTTGTTTTAAATATGTGAACGAACTTATCATTTTTAAAAATGCCTAAAACATCGGGGAATTACATCGCTAGACTGACACATAGGTCGATATGGTCACGCGGAGTTTCTTCACATCTTGACACAATCATCAACAGGCCAGTCTGAAGGTAAGAAAATATCTTTATTAATGCTAAATTAAAATTAAAAATGAGGTTGTAATTTTATAGAATTAAGTTTTTTATTGTTCGTTTTTAGGAAAAATGTATTCTTCATCTAAAACATAAAATGTCTGCTATCAGATAACAAATTTTTTACAAATTTTGACATCGTATTTTATATAGTAGATTCTAGTTTTGAATTCTAATCAACATTTTTCGATGTTGCCTTAAATAAAGCTACTTTACTCTTGCACGAAACAAATCATATTTTTGACAAACCTCGTATACGATATTTGATATCTGATGGCTGTATTTTGAGTTTTAGATAATGCAAAACTTTTTATGAAGAATAACTTTTTTTCTTCTTAAAATTAATAATAAAAAAGTTTTCCATATTACCATTCCAACTTAAGTAGAAATTTTATTCTTTAGAAAAGTTTCCGCGTGGCTTTAAACCAAAAATTGACAAAATTTAAATATATTTTTTCGCTATGGGGGAGGTTCAAAAAATATAAAATACGCTTACGACTCGAAAAAAAAATGTTATTTACCAGAGTTGTTTAGAATCGAAGGAAGGTTACAAACGGGGATTATTGGCAAAAATTGAGATTTTTAGAGATTAATTTCTATGACAGCAAATTTGTAGTTAGTATAGATGAGCGTACTTAAATTCCACAAACTTTTTTGTTGTATACAATAATATATTATCTAGTTTTGTGACTTAACTCTAGAGCTAACTCATAACAACCCATTAATTTAGATAATATGGTGGAAACACCGATTGTAAATTTTGGCGAATCTCTTAAGTAGTCACCAGAATATAGAATACGCATTGTAAGAGGAGACGCCGCGCCGTCGTGCACCACATGACTTTGCCCTGATGTACGGCGCGGGCCTGCATGAGACTGGGCAACTCAATGTAAATATTTATTTCGGCAAAATTTTAGTTAGCGATTGTAATAAAAGGCAAGAGTAGAGAGCACTCATAGATAGATCTTCTTCTTTTTAAATGGTCCTTTCGTACTTTGTTAACAATATTACTTCGTCTACTTAAGTTGACAGCATATGAAAAATAGATTATTAGTTTTAGGAAAATATTATTATAGGTTATGTCAGAAAATATAAATTTTGCTCAAGTCTAAAGGTATTTTGCAGTAGAAATTTTTTATAAAGAGTAATTTTTTCCTAATTTTTCCTAAAAATAATAAAAATAGTTCCTCATAGGCTGCCAACTCAAACAGAATCACTGTATGTATTATTTTTTCATAGTTCAATTATTTTATAATTAATTATCTTTCCAATAAAAAGCTGACTATAAATTTATCACATATTAAGGTAAAAGTATATTAATTAAAATTGTAGTAGGCCATTGTTATATTTTTATTAAAATGGCACGTGCAATTAACTAAAAATAGGTTACCTATATTAATATAAATATTTTTTTTTTTTAATTTTGTTTTATGAAATTACTAGTTCTTTTGTGAATAAATCAATTTTTCATACGTCATCTGACCACTCCTTAAAACTCATGAATGTATTACAAGGTGTCAAAAGTTGCTATAATATTGATATCCTTACTTTTACTAGCTATAGCAGGCATTAATTGAGTCTTCTGAAGTTCTTTTTCTTCTGTGCTTAAACGTAAAACTATTTTAAGAAATTAAGTTGTAATAATCTCTATAATATTCATATATCAAATTGTCCTAAAGGCCAAATCAATGAGGATGAGCTATGCGTTCACCTCATTGATTATAAGGCCAAAGGACGAAAAAGAGGCTGAAGCGGGGCCCACTGAAGACTCCTCGGTAAAGGACCCTCTTCCTACTCAATTTAAGCCGACAGTGGAGGACGTCGAGCCAGACAAAATGGCAATCGATGACCTCCAGCAAGAAAACTCCAAGGAGCCAAAAGAGACCACCTCCTCCCCACTTTCGGAGGAAGGGATGGTCTAATAAATAACCATCTTGCTGCCTAATTTTCAACGGAGAACCGGGAAGCAATAAAATAGGTAACGATTATACAATTTAACTTGCAGCACAAAAGGGTGGCTACGGGAACATTATTCCGTCGCCTTGATGAGCTGCAAGATACAATAGCACTAATCCAGGAACCCTGGATAAAAAAAACCAAAATGTTAGATCTTAAAAATCTAAATGGTTCAATTTTTAGCTTTCCCAGCAACCAACAACCTAGGACAGCCATTTACATTCCTAGGAAATACAAAGCCCACTCAATGGCACACCTTTCCACCTCCGATTTAACTGCGGTTAAGATGGAATACACCATTAAAAGGGAAAAGAGATGGAGGATCTTATTGAATACTGCCTGGACCAGAAGTTTGAGCTGGTAATAGGATGCGACTCAAACGCTCATCACTTCAGTTGGGACAGTAAGGATAACAACGCTAGAAGTAAGTCACTTATAAGATTATATAATTACCAAAAATCTTTGTATTTTAAATAAAGGTACCACACCAACATTTTTAAACTCTCGCAGTCAAACACTAATAGATATCACTTTATTCACAACTGGTATCTATAAATCAATTCTAAACTGGCAAGTGTCTGATAATATTTCGATGTCAGACCACCGCTGGTTAACATTCAAAATAAACTTGATGTTGCCGACCTCCACGCTATCTCGGAACACTAGGAAGACGGACAGGGCAATCTATGCCCACCTTCTCCAAGAGGCTCTGAGAGAGATGGAGGCCGAAACTGTCTAAATCTTCTAGAGATGAACCAAACCACGGTCTTCAGATTGTACCAAAACCAAAATAAACTTCTAGATATAAAATCCATAAAACTTCTTGATATAGTCATGTTAAAAAAGGTTTAAAATGTTAAGACAGGAAATAGGAAATTGGAACAGAATTTAGATAAAATGCTTTAACTATTAAATGAATAATTTCACAGAGACTAAAATTAATATGAAAAGGAAAAATCTTATTTAATACATTTAAACATAGTAAAGCATAATATCTTATTCCAAAAAAATAATACATAAATTATTCATGTGTGTTACTCATTGTTGATAGGATTTTAGGTTATGTTCGGAACTTGACAATTTAATTAAGAAATCCTTGTATAAAATATATATATTTAACAACATATTAGTATTAAAACTTACCTTATAAAATCAGACGGATTTTACGATAGATTAAAATCATTTAGTACATCGGATGGCCAAGATATTAAAATGAATGTGATCTATTTGATATATTCAAAACAAATGAAATACGCACTTTTGACACAAGGCATAAACGACAAATGACATTTGAGTAGAGGTGATTGTGTTGAATAACGGTTCCAACCGTTACAACAGAGGCCTAAGTGCCGTGGGGTAACCCATCCTCCACACGTTACAGATACAGATCGTATTTTAATTTCATTGATTGTATTAATTATTAAAAAATTATTATTATTAAAAGCAAATAACCCAGAATATGATATATTTTCCATTGAAAATAAATTGAAATTTCACTGAACAATAACTAACGCAACCGTGACGAGAGTATGGTTGGATTAGACGTAGGCCCGTATTTTACCTGTTCAAATATCATACATTCATCCATCCATCCATAAAATAGGCATTTTTATGTAAAAACAAAACAAACAAAGTGTGTCGCATATTATTATAGGTATACGACTATATAGTGTTCTTATCTCGTTTGAAATAGTTTTTATTAAAATTCAACAACCACCGTTTGTCTTGTCACAATTCTTTTTCATTTAAAATCCTCGAACGTAATTTCTTGGATGTTCCAGAGCTTTATTTTATTTCGTGTTTGTTATTATGCATAGAGTTTCAGTGGCGGTACCCTAACAAAGGGAATATTCGTAATCTCTGGTAATACTTGCATTTCGGAAAAAGGTAAAAATAATAAAGGAAATTTCTTAATACACAAACTCTGAAAAAATACAAAAAAGAATTGAATGTGAAAAATTGCGCTCCAACTGGGAATCGAAACCATCAACTTTGGACTACCGTTGTAGCAAAAAAACAGCTTGTTTATTTCTAATAGCACCAGATATTCTTACAATCCCTAGGTTCAGACAGAATCAAGTTAAAGTAGGTCTGGAATTGTTTTGGAATGTTTAATGATCTGACAAACCACAAAACTGAGCGTTGGTACCAAAACATAAAGGTATCCAAAGGAGAGATCAGAACTACCATTAACAGGATCTAAACCTGTATTTAGAATAAACAAAACCCCTGCTCGACAGGAAGTAAATAGATGGATAACCACTAAACAGCAAACAACAAATAAGAGAACACAAGATCAGTAAGCTCACACTAAGGAGACCAAACCCACGCATGGCTGCTTAGCTAAAATTTTTATGGGATTACTGTTTGCTGAAACATCACGTGGTGGAATTCCACAATGATCCTACCACGAGACTATTCACTAATTCCTAAGTTGTTAAAATTCAGGTAAAATTTGTGGCATAATTCGGATGCGCCCCTTTACTCATTGAATTAAAATTTGTGTAAATCACTGATCTTAAAAATAGTAAACATTATGTATAGGAGAGATCCAGTACGATGAATATGAACGGATGCGATTCCTTGATTTCGTACAGTCTCCACGCCACTGGCTTGGGGGTATATTATAATAATCAACTTCCATATTTCATCCGGATGTATTCTGTCACAATCGTAAATATGCAAAACCCCACGAGATTCTACATGAGATATTCAGGAAAGTTTTAATGAAATCATTTTTTACCGGGTATTTTTTTTAAATATTGTTTAAATTAACTGTATTTTTTCTACTCCAGTAGTAACTACTGGCACGTTAATATATGGATATTTTTTTATTTGCATAGTTGAATCTATTAATTGTTTTTTTACGACAAATGAATGTAATAGTATTGAATATATCGAAAAAATAAAATTACATAGGGATGTTATGGTATGTTGAAAATGGGGTGTTAATACACTGCGACCTAAAAGATCTATTGTGCCCCTTCTGTCGCCAATGCACTAAGGAAATGTCTCAATGCCTA